GATTTATTTCTTGTAAATCTGTTATCTATGAGGTGTCGATAACATCTCAGTGGTTTGTTTCACAGGATGGTTTTGAAGGATCAAATGATGTAACGTGAGGTAGCACTTTGTAAACTCTAAAGTTCGATACAAGTGTATTATTTTTTTAGGCATCTTAAAATGTGGCAGACTCAGTAAATATTTAGATAAAAGTTATAGCAGCTTAGTTAACTCTAGTTTGTTGGGGTTTTTTTCTTTTTACTGTTGATTTTTGAGAGAGAGGGAGAGGTAAAGCATGGGGGAAGGGGCAGAGAGAGGAGGGGAGGGACAGAGGACCCGAAGTAAAGCGGGCTCTGTGCTGACAGAGTCCGACGCAGGGATCAAACTCAAACCATGAGATCATGACCTGAGCTGAAGTCAGACGCTCAACCTACTGAGCCACCCAGGCACCCCAACTCTAGGTTTTTTATCTGCAACATCATGATAAGCCTTAAGAAGACCTGTCCAAACATTAAGATTTGAGTTAATCAGGAACTTTTCACCCTGTGTACACCTCTTCGATGTTTTGTCATAAATAGTTCTGACATAAATGTTCTATGATCGTGGCCATGTTCATAGGTCATGTTCTATAACTGATGCCATAATTTGGTTGCCAGGATGCTTGGGGGGGGGGGGAGTGGCAAGTTGTGTTGATGAAAGGCATTTTTCCATTGTGCTACTACACTGATTTGAGTTACTTTGAAATTTCCTTGCCAAGCAATTCCAATTGAGAGTCCTCAATTCCAGATATCCCTGCTAGTGTTTGGAGACTGTCATATTCAGGGAGGATTTCTCTTGAAATAATCCCTTTGGAAACCATAGGAGAATTGACTCGTAATATTTAAGAGGGCTCTTGGCTCCTCTGAAGGTGATAGATTCTATAGGAAGAGTGGGTTGCATTTTTAATCAACTTCTACATTGATTTTAACAAACCGCTTATTCAGGCCCCCATAGAACTACCTATAAATAAGAGAAAAACTCAAATTGGGAAGCCTGGCTGAGAATCTCTAATATAAAGAATCTGGTACCTGAGGTAGATGCTGGGATGAGCCAGTTAAGAAAGCTCAGAGAGGGGCGCCTGAGTGGCTCAGTCGGTTGAGCGTCTGACTTCGGCTCACGTCATGATCTCGCGGTTCAGGAGTTCGAGCCCCGCGTCAGGCTCTGGGCTGATGGCTCAGAGCCTGGAGCCTGCTTCGGATTCTGTGTCTCCCTCTCTCTCTGCCCCTCTCCCACTTGCGCTCTCTCTCTCTCTCTCTCTCTCTCAAAAATAAACATTAAAAAAAGGTTAAAAAAAAAAAAGCTCAGAGAAGGGCATCTCGTTGGTTCAGTTTGTTGAGCCTCTGACTCTTGATTTCGGCTCAGGTCATGATCCCAAGGTCTTTGGGATGGAGCGCCACCTTGGGCTTAGAGCCTGCTTGAAATTCTCTCTCTCCCTCTCTCCCTGCCTCTCTCTCCCTGCCTCTCTCTCCCTCTCCCCCTTCCCCACTCACACTCTCTCCTTAAAAAAGGCTCAGAGAGAAGTGGGAGTCTGTTTATTCTTCACTTCTTTTTTGAGTTCTTCTTTTTTATTTTTTTTTTAAAGCTTCTTTATTTATATTGAGAGGGGTGGGGAGGGAGTGAGAATCCCCAGCAGGCTCCACTCCTTCAGTGCAGAGCCCAATGCTGGGCTTAAGCACACACTGTGAGATCATGACCTGTGCTGAAATCAAGAGTTGGCCACTTAGTCAACTCAGCTACCCAGGCACCCCTTGAGTTGTTAAGACAGTGAGTTAAGCTAGTTAAACTGTTCTGTTCTATGACTCTGCCTCCTTGGGACCATGCTAATGATACAGGGAGAAGAGGCCTACAGTAGCCAGAGATAAACCAGAAGCTGTCCTGATCCTTTTGGTTCATAGTAGGACAATCGGATGGGCAGTATTCAGTGCTGTTTCTTTTTGTAAGACAAGTATAACTATTAATGTGGATAACACGGGGCTTTAAATAACTCTGAATTCTGAAGCCTTAGTGATAGAATGCCTTTCCTTTACTTTCTTAAATTTAATTACTTGGTAGAGAGGTTATTAGGGAACAATTACTGTTTTGCATGGTCTATAACCCATTATTTTCCTTCCATCAATTGAGAAAGGGAGTATCTTCCAATGTCCAAGACCAAATTAATGCAGGGAGTTGTGGTAACCTTTGTTATCTAAAGGTGATGGTCAGTTTATTTTTCTCCGCATGTTAACCAAAGACTGACAGTAAATCCTGCTTTACCTCTTCAACTCACAGTGGAAGAAAGCAAGGAATAGAGAGCATTTATTCTTGGAAGGAAACACAATTAATCCAGAAGGGAAATTAGATTTTTCTTTCCTCATAAAATAACACTTGCCGTATAGCAGTCAGAATTTTGAAAACCTGAAAGCATCTCCCTCCAGAAAGAAGTACACACAGCCTCTGAATCAAAGGCACATGAAGCTAACTGCAATCCACTGATAAGTCGGTTCAGTAAAAGAAGGAAGGGAAAACGTGTGGCATTTTCTCTAAAAGATAGAGGGACTGGGTGGGGGGTGAAGGAAAGCAAAGCAGATTCTTCAGTATGTAAATGGAGAAGGAAGAGGGTTGAAAAGATGCCTCTTACCTGAGCACAGGTAGTGTTCTGAACCCCTCTGTAGAGGTGGGGCTTAGGTGTTGCCTTAGACCATACTAAAAGCACTCCAGAAAACAGTGTTTCGTGCTACTTTGCAAAAGTTCAGAATACCTTTAAGTGGAAGTGGTGTCTACATTTTTCTTATCGGACATTAAACATCAGAAAGGCAGGAAGCATTTCTTATTCTCTTGAATCTCCAGTATCCCCAGTGTCCAGATTTTCTAGTAGTTAAAGGTTTCAGTAAGTCAGCATTGCTCATATATGCAGACATGGGAATATCTCAGTATAAACCAAGATTTCTGTGGATAATTTAACTGATTCATAATGATGATCCTGACTTCATGAAAATTTGTTGTATTTCATATGGACTATAGTGGACTTTTTCAAAAAGACATTCTGTACATGTCAGTTTTAAAGTTTGTTTATTAAATATTTTCTTTTTATGTACTCTCTATACCCAACGTAGGGATCGAATTCAAACCCTGGGATCAAGAGTCTCATGCTGTTCTGACTGAGCCAGCTGTGAGACACCCCTAAAGTATATTTAGAAGAGTTTCTACCTAGGCTAAGTAAGACTCTTTTTCCCAAGGATGAACAACCAGTTTAGCCCCAAATCAGCATTGTCTTAAATTCATAGATGGTAGTAATTTGGCTTGAATTATCTGCCATTCTCTTGATTCTTTGTATCTCATTGTGGCAGCTGTGATCCATGAATTTGTAGATTTTGGGCCAGTTTTATATATCAGTTCTGATGTGTTGATATCTTATGGCGCCACCTACTGACACAAATTGGTAAACAAATGGCTTTAAGCCTGCCAGCTGTCTGAATTGTATTTGAAGGACTAAAAATAGATTATAGGGGACTAGAGTTTTAGCATTGGAAAAAATGCTTGGAAGTTACTCAGCCTAAAGAAGTATTTTACAAAAGAATTAACTCAGGTTTTATTATCTGTGATAACTATCTCTTTTTTTCCTGTTCATTTTCCAAATTATTGCAGTGCCCCAATTAGAGAATTTCATGGTCATTCTGGCATTTTTATAAGTCTTTCTGAACCTCAGAAATAAGCTAAGTAGAATAAGAAACGAAGAAGAAACTTTCACATTGTAAATCATTGATGGCATTTGGAAAAGACCACATAAAGAACCTTGTGGGTGCTCAGTTGGTTAAGTGTGCAGCTCGATTTCTGCTTAGGTCATGATCTCATGTTTCATGAGATTGAGCCCCATGTCAGGCTATGCTGGCAGCACGGATCCTGCTTGGGATTCTCTCTCTCCCTCTCCCTCTGCACCCCCCCCCCAAAAATAAATAAACATTTTATTTATTTAAAAAAACTTTTTAATGTTTATATTTGAGAGAAAGAGAGAGAGTGTGCGAGCAGGGGAGGAACAGAGAGAGGGAGACAGAGAATCCGAAGCAGTCTCCAGGCTCCGAGCTGTCAGCACAAGCCCCACATGGGGCTCAAACTCATGAGCTTGTGAGATCATGACCTGAGCCACCCAGGCACCCCGATAAACAAACATTTTAAAAAAAGAACCTTGAGACTCAGAAGAGGATGTTGTAACAATGCAGAGGGATGCATTGTATTATATATGCATATACAAAGGGGAAAATTGAGGGGCGCCTGGGTGGCGCAGTCGGTTAAGCGTCCGACTTCAGCCAGGTCACGATCTCATGGTCGGTGAGTTCGAGCTCCGCGTCAGGCTCTGGGCTGATGGCTCAGAGCCTGGAGCCTGTTTCTGATTCTGTGTCTCCCTCTCTCTCTGCCCCTCCCCCATTCATGCTCTGTCTCTGTCCCAAAAATAAATAAACGTTGAAAAAAAAAATTTAAAAAAAAAAGGGGGAAAATTGAACCAGATGTTTGATAAATAGGACAAGCTACTTCGCACTGTAAAAGTTGGAAGTCTAGTGATATGATGAAAGTATGAATCAGAGGGTTATATGTATGTAAGTTTAATGTGTATGTAAGTTATGTATGTAAGTTTAATGTCTATACCTTATTTTTAGGAGTCTTGCTTCCAATTGAATAACATTTTAGATGCCATGCTTTATACTAAAAGGGGTGTTGGAAACTTTTTAACTTAGAATAGGTATAAAAGTGTTAGGTGATTATGCAAGAATAAAGGAGTTTTGCCGTGAGATTGGTTGGGGCTTTTTATGAACTAGCTTTCATATCAGAACATATTAGAAAACTTTATTTTTTACTGAAGCCGAAAAGGTGGAATACGTAATACAAGCATACACTATTAAAGTCATCAGTGATGCCCCTGGGTTTCTAACCATCCGAATATTCACCTAAGCAAGAAAAGTGTGCCCTAATGCCCTTTTTATTTTGTCACTTTAGCAGCGTCACCCTTTAGACCAGAAAGCTGGCGGGCACTATGGGGAAGAAACAAAACAAGAAGAAAGTGGAGGAGGTGCTAGAAGAGGAGGAAGAGGAATATGTGGTGGAAAAAGTTCTTGACCGTCGAGTGGTAAAGGGCAAAGTGGAGTACCTCCTAAAGTGGAAGGGGTTCTCAGAGTAAGTTTCATTAACCTGGGTAAATCCATCCATGTAGTCACCAACTTTCTCAGGAGTCTAGTAATGTGCAAGGCCTAGAGTGCTCTAATATGTAGTGTGACCCAGGCCTGGCCTCCATGGCTTATAGTCTAAAAGTCCCTCATCTCCCCTCCCGCCCACCAAGAAATTTCAGCATTACCAAGTTCTTGATCTTGGACAAAATCCGGTTCCTCATCATCATTAACTCCTCTCTTCCAAGGGCACCAGCTCTTGTCATCCTGTGCATCTCCTTAGCATGAGTGTGCTAACTTTGAGTGGAAAGTGTGACTCACTGTGCCCTCTGATTTCAGTGAGGATAACACGTGGGAGCCAGAAGAGAACCTGGATTGCCCTGATCTCATTGCTGAATTTCTACAGTCACAGAAAACAGCACATGAGACAGATAAATCAGAGGGAGGCAAGCGCAAAGCTGACTCTGATTCTGAAGATAAGGGAGAAGAGAGCAAACCAAAGAAGAAGAAAGAAGAGGTAAGGAGAGAAAATTTTTACTAGTCTAGAATTCCTACTGCTGTCAAAGAAACTAAAAGCTCTTTAAATTTAAAGTTAAATACTTTTATTCTGCTGTTTCTTGGACCTCAGCAGCCATCTCTCATTCCTTCTGGAATCTTAGATATGCTAATGCTTTCAAAGTGTTTTGGGGGTTCACTTAATCTATACTTATTTTATCTGAGGTTCAGGAAGAAGGGCAACTAAATTCATTCCTGTAAAAAGATCGTTTTCAGTGTTGTAATCATTACAACTGTAAGGTAGCTATTTTCATCTGTTCAATACCTTAAAGTAAGTTGTCTTCTGAAGGTGAAGAAACAGTTGTGAACATTTATTTTGCTTGAGATGTATGTCCCTTTTTACATATGGGGAAACCTTAAGACCTTGATGGAAGAATCACCCAAGGATGCAAAAAGGCCTGTGACTTGGAGCCAAGGTATTGGTGGAATATTGGCAAGAGTGTCATTATATTAATCAGAGAAACCGGAGTGACTCCAGTCTGGATAACAATTCCATATAATTAAAATCGTTCCATTCATCTGGTTTTCACAGTCAGAAAAGCCACGAGGCTTTGCCCGGGGTTTGGAGCCAGAGCGGATTATTGGAGCTACAGACTCCAGTGGAGAACTCATGTTCCTGATGAAATGGTGAGTCTGCCAGTGGCTCTGTGTGGTGGTTTTTTCTTCTCCCCATCTGTTCCATGCCAGAGGAAAAGAGCTGGACCTTCGAAATTCCAGTCGCCCAAGTGTGAAATCTTTAAGATGGCCTAGTCCTTCGATAGTGACCCTCGGCCTGACTGCCAACCTGGACTCATGAGTTATACAGGTAGGGGCCCTTAGGATTCTCAGTCTTTGCCCATTTTTTAGGAGGTGGGAGAAAATCCAGAATGGAGAAGGTGTGGGGAGGAATCACATTTCACTTCTGTAAATAAAGGAAAAAGATATGAAATGTGATTGAACCACCCTCCCCTTCTACCACCTCCTTAATAAAGATGGGGCTGGCCCCAGGATCAGATGTTTTCTGTTAACTTTTCAGGGTTAAGAATTTCTGTAGCTCTTCCTTTGTCCTTGATAGATCCTTTCTAATTTGTGCCAATTGTGTAATTCCAGGATCAGCCAGTAGGGGTCAGCAAGTCCCCTTTACTATACTGAGTATAGACCAAGGCTTTTTTTTTCCTTCCAGAAGTATAAATACCAATGGTAGTAATATTCCATGAAACGGCTTAATGAAAACAATTGTCTTGAGAATTTTAAGAACTGTAATTAATCCCAAATTCTCTAAAATTCCCCTACTCTGTCCAAAAGAAAGGCTTTCTTCCCTATTTCTTGCTTGTTGAAAAATGCTTGTGCTATTTTCTTCCCCCACATGGGTCTCAATTATTGTCCTAAAAAAAATGTAGGAGTAAATAATTCCAAACTTCTGCCAGTCAAGGCAGCATTCTAAGGATTTTGTCCTTTTGTCAGTCTAGACCCTTCTTGGAAACTCGTATCTACTCTTCATTCCTCTTGTTTAGAAGGTGGCCAGAGAGGCCTAATTTTGACACTACTGGAAGCCCATGTCACAATTAGCTGAAACTCTGTTTTCTTATTATGCATTCCCTAGGTGTTCACTGAATCTGATCATCTTTTAGCTGACATATTGCTAGCCCATAGGAGAAAAGTTCATTTTTAAGGTGCTGCATCTGGGGGGGAAAGGATCAATACCAGGAGTTACAGTCCAATTAGAATATACTTTCTGTCTGCACGTGACCATTCTGGGTTACATTAGTATCTCCATATTGTTTAAGATAACACTCCTTTAATTAAATTACTGCTGTTTGTAAAGGTTCTACCTGAATGTAACACTACAGGTTGAAATAGTAAGGTTGTGATTATAAAACCAAGTTCATTTTAAGGTTATTTTCCTGGAAAGTTGAGATACTTGTCCATTTCCAAAATAGCAAATATTTCTTGGCCATAAAATGACTGAACTTTCCTCAGAAGGTGTTGAATTGTCAATAAGGGCAGCCTGCTTCAGGCTCCCATATTGTTATACTCCTTTTCCCTCCCATTCTCTTCAGTCCATTGTTCAACAGCCTGTTTTACCAGCTTAGTCAACCCTGGTTCCTTGGGGCTCTCTGGCTTTGGTACCTGTTGCTGAGTTGTGGAAGTTTTGGGTGGTGCCTCATCACAGATCCCATTATATATCTGCTATCTGCCTTAATGCTACTGCTCCCATCTAGGACATTCCCAATGGCTTTACTCCTAAGTCCCTTGTAATATGTATATGAATTTCACATTTTGAGACCATCTTAAATTCAGAAAAATATAAAGAATTATGTAACAGTCCCTTATTTTCTACTTCCCAGTGTTGAAGCACCATTTCAAAGCACCTGGGAGTTGTGGAATATCTGTGTGAGCATGGCATTTGGTAATGTTAAACAGTGTAATTATGAGTCAGCGCATTGGCAAGAGCCAATGGTATTAAATCTTATTATCCAACATGGTATTACATTTTATTACAAAGCTGAGATATCTCCATGGGTTCATGGCAGCTGAGATATGACTTTGGGAAGATTGTAGTAGTTTTTTCTTTTCTTTCTTTCTTTCTTTCTTTCTTTCTTTCTTTCTCTCTTAAGTTTTTTTAACATTTATTTATTTTTGAGAGAGAGACAGAGTGCAAGGGGGAGAGGGCAGAGAGAGAGGGAGACACAGAATCTGAAGCAGGCTCCAGGCCTGTCAGCACGGAGCCCGATGTGGGGTCTGAGCCCATGAACTGATATCATGACCTGAGCCGAAGTTGGATGCTTAACCAACCGAGCCACCCAGGTGCCCCTAGTTTTTCTCTGCTCTTCAAGAATCTGAGAGTCATGATTTTTTTGTGGCCTTGCCGAGGTTCAGATGTAATAGACTGAGTTAAGTGACTTAGCTTTTAACAAAGATACCCAGAGAGGATTTTCAGTAGAAGATCTCTGAGGATGTCACTCCACTAAATGCTGCTTGGGCCATGTTATCACCCTTCCCTAGGCTACTCTTCTTGAATTAATACTTTTAAAGCCCTATCCCTTGTGTGATCCAAGTCAAGAGACCACCAGCACCTGGTCTCAGAGTCTCTCTGCTTTGTTCTGCAGGAAAAATTCTGATGAGGCTGACCTAGTCCCTGCCAAGGAAGCCAATGTCAAGTGCCCACAGGTGGTCATATCCTTCTATGAGGAAAGGCTGACGTGGCATTCTTACCCCTCGGAGGATGATGACAAAAAAGATGACAAGAATTAACTCTCCTGAGTACCAGCCCCTGTCACATCTGACTGTGGGTTTCAAGTGGGGAGGGAAGGAATTCTACTTGTCTTGGCACCATAGAGGTGGCTTGAGAAGATGTCCTTTGAAGAGCCAGTATCGTTTCTGTGCCCTACAGCAGCCCAAGTGCTTTAAAGCCTTTCCATGCTGTGTAGTTTGCACACCCATCCCAGTGGAGGGGAAGGAGAAGTGTTGCAAGGCAGCCCATTCTGTACTTTGCTGAGAAAGGCAAAGGGCCTTCCATGAAGGA